GCCATCGAGTAGAATACAACTCACAGCAACCCATGTATAGCAGATCTGAATCTCTCCTATCCTGCACCATCCCTGATACACTTGAGCTTATTGCTCCGGTCACTGTGTCAATCCATCTCAAGGGTCATCTTCTCTTTTACTGATCCTTCCACCCTTCCAAGCATAATGTCCATTTCCAGAGACTAGCCACAGCAACAGTATGTCCAAATTTGTGAGACAAAGCTTCTAGGGAGCGCTCTGGCCACACCTTCTCCAAGACACAAGCTTGTGGTTGTTGTTGTGCACTGCTGAGGCAGAACCAACTCAGAGCTGACCCTCCAGCAGGTTTTCAGAGGCAGTAAATCACATAGAAAGAAATGCCCATCCTTCTCCTGCAGAGTAGCTGATGGGTACAAACTGCATACCTTTGGGACTGCAGCACAGCCTTACCACTAGCGTCTAGCGGCTTCCAAAACTTAGAACCACAGCTTGGAACCAGTTAACTAAAAGATTAGTCAATCAATCAAAGGATTGTTTTTGTTGTTGCTACATGCCATCAAGTTGCCTGCGACTCATAGCGACTCAGGGTACAACAGCCCTAAAACCTGCTCTATTCTGTGCCAAACTTATTGTCTCTGACACACCTACTCCCAATCAATCCATCTCATCGAAGTTCTTCCTCTCTTGTGCTGTCTCTCCACCCTCTCAAGTATGATGTTCCTCTCCAAGAACTGGTCCCTCGCAACATGTCCAAAGTATGTCAGATGAAGCCTCAGAATCTTTGCCTCCAAGAAGCAGCCCTATTTCATCCTTCATCCTTTCTAGGACGAACCTGTTTGTTTTCCTAGCAGTTCATGGTATACTCAATACTATTCTCTAGTATCACAGCTCAAAGGCAACAATTCTCATTCTATCATCTCTGGTCACTGTCCAACTTTCTGATGCATAACAAGTAATTGCAAAGACTATATGGTCTGGATCAGGTGCACCTTAGTCTCCATACTGACATTGTTGCTCTTAAGTACTTTGGAGAGGTTTCTGACAGCAGACTTTCCCAATGCAATTTATCTTTTACTTTTCTGGCTGCTGGTACCAAGAATGTTGATTATAGAGCCAAGCAAACTAAAGATGTTAACAATCTCAATCTCTTCACCATCCATCATGAAACTACCAATCAGCCCAGTGATGAGAATCTTTGTTTTCTTGATGTTGAGCTTCAATCCATATTGAAGGCTACAGTCCTTGACCTTCTGCAGCAAGCATTTTAGGTCCTCCTCAGTTTTGGCAATCAGGGTTATGTCATCAGCATAATACAGATTGTTGATGAGTCTTCCTCTAATCTTGATACCACATTTCTCCTCATGGAGCTCGGCCTCCCAGATAATCTGTTGTGCATACAGACTGAAAATGTATGGAGATAGGACACATTCCTGGTGTATGCCCTTCCCAATTTTGAACCATTCACTGTTCTGATGACTACCTCCTAGTGCAAGTATAGGTTTAACATAAGCATGATCAATATTCTGAGATTCCCATTCTTCTCAGAGTCAGCCAGTTTGTTGTGATCCACACAGTCAAACACCTTTGCATAGTCAATGAAACACAGACATTCCTCTGGTATTCCCTGCTTTCAGCCAAGATCCATCTAACATTTGCTACGCTATCCTTAGTATCATGGCCTCTTCTAAACCCAGCCTGCATGTCTGGCAGTTCTCTGTTGATGTTCTATTCCAGTCATTTTTGGGTAAAAGCATAATCTTGCTTGCATGTGATATTAATAATATTGTTCAATAATTTCCACACTCTGTCAAGTTGTTTTTCTTTAGAATGGGAACAAATACATACCTCTTCCAGTCAGTTGGCCAGGTGGTTGTGCTCCAGATTTCTTGGCAAAACTTGGTGAGCACATCCAGCGAATTGTTGTTGTTGTTGTTGTTATGTGCCGTCGAGTCGCTTGCGACTCATAGCGACCCTACGTACAACAGCCCTAAAACCTGCTCTATCCTGTGCCAATCTCATTGCTTCCGACACACCCATCCTGATTACCCGTCACTGAATCAATCCACCTCATAGAGGGCCTTCCCCACCTGCGCTGTCCTCCACTCTGCCCAGCATGATGTCCCTCTCCAAAGACCTATCTCTCCTTACAACATGTCCAAAGTATGTTAGGTGAAGCCCCAGAACCCTTGCCTCCAAGGAGCAGCCTGGTTTAACCCTCTCCAGGATGAATCTATTTGTTTTCTTGGCAGTCCATGGTAAATTCAGTATTCTTCTCCAACACCACAGCTCAAAGGCGTCAATTCTCCTTCTATCC